CACTGTCATTGACAGCAGGGAAGAGTAAAACAGGATGGCAAGCCTGCATCGGGAGGGAACCTCTCCTAGTCTGGCAATCTCTCTCATTTGGGACTGGTCAGATCCTGAGGGTGCCGGAACAGGGATATCCAACCAATATTTTTTAAATCATTTTTACGGTGCAAATATTTATAATAAGTGAGCACTATACACTTTTTGTTCTGCATTGGAATATAAATTAATATATTTGAAGATGCAGAAAAACATAAAAACAGTCGTACTGTGTTGGAACAAAGGTCCATCCGGCTCAGTGTCCTGTCTTCAAACAGTGACCTATGCCAGATGCTCCAAAGGGAGTGGACAGAACAATCATCAAGTGATCCCTCTCCTGTCATCCATTTCCAGACTCTGACAAAAAGTTTAGGAATGCCATTCCTACCCAATCTAATAAGTATTTATGGACCTAACCTCCTTGAATTTACCTAGTTCTTTTTTGAACTCTGATAAAGTCCTGGTCTTCACAACATCCTCTTGCAAGGAGTTCCACAGGCTGACTGTGCACTGTGTGAAGAAAAACTTCCTTTTGTTTGTTTAAAACCTGCTACCTATTAATTTCACTTGGTAACCCCTAGTTCTTACGTTATGGGAACAAATAAATAACTTTTCCTTATTCGCTTTCTCTATAACTGTCATGATTTTATAGACCTTTATCATATTCCTCCCTTAATCTCCTCTTTTTCTAAACTGAAAAGGCTAGTCTTTTTAATCTCTCTTCAAAGGCACCCATTCCAAATCCTAATAATTTTTGTTGCCCTTTTATGACCCTTTTTCAACACCAATATATCTTTTTTGAGATGAGGTGACTACATCTGTATGCAGTATTCAAGATGTGGGTGTACCATGGACTTATAGCAGCAATAAGAGATCCTTTGTCTTATTCTCTATCCCCTTTAATTATTCCTAACATTCTGTTTGCTTTTCTGATTGCTGCTGCACAGAGTGGATGTTTTCAGAGAATTATCCAATCCAAGAGCTCTCTCGAGTGGTTACAGCTAAATTAGTCCCCATCCTTTTGTATGTATAGTTGGGATTGGTTTTTCCAGTGTGCATTCCTTTGCATTTATCAACATTAAAACTCATTTTTCATTTTGTTGCCCAATCACCTAGTTCAGTGACATCATTTTGAAGCTCTTCACAATCTGCTTTGTTAACTTTCTTGAACAGTTTAGGATCATCTGCAAATTTGGCCACCTCACTATTTACCTCTTTCTCCAGATCATTTATTTATAAATATGTTGAATATCCTAGAATATCCATATTAAGAAATACCAATTGGCATTCTATTGTTTAACAGTGTAATTAATTGTAGTTCATTGTGCGAGTTACCTGTGATTAATGGAGAGCCCTAATCTTAACATTTGTTATGTTTGAAAATTGTGAATATTTTTATGATTATTTCATTTTGAAATGAAATATGCATTTGAAATTCAATTAAAAATGCACAAAACCAGCATTGTTCAATTTTATTTTCTTAATTAAAAACTACCTAAAATATGCATGATTAATAAGGGGGGAAATCCTAAATTTATCAAAACTAATTAATGCATTAAATAAAGTAACTATCTGTAGTTAATTAATTGAATTTGGGGGGGGGGGTTTCATAGACTTGAAAGCCAGTAGAGATAAACAGACTTTCTGTACATTGCCTACTGAATAGCCTGCTGAATAGGCCAAGGAGTCTAGCATGTAAACAAGTCATAAACTCAAACAAAAGCCAATGAAGGTTGTTTCTAGTCAGCACGTCCTTCAAGATTTGAACTCCAGCTAATCTCATCTTCTCACACCTCATTTTTATTCACATATTACAAGAAGAAAAACAAGCTTTTCTTTTTTAACTCCCAATCCATTTTTCAACTTTGAATGAATTAATCATTTAATTTAAATGAATTAGCTGAATAAAGAAGAAAATATAGTCTATTCACCTGCAGAAGAGACTACTGCAGTCAAAAGCAGGTGTTCACCCAAACCTGGTTCCAGGTCCTTAGCCAGTGGTTTCCACTAAAGGTTACAGAACTAGCAGGAAGCATGTTTTTTTTAAAATGTAGTTCAAATTACTTTTTACAGATTATAGTGAATTTAGTCCTTAATATAGGTTGCCACGTTTTCACATTTTAAAGAGGTTTATTTTGAAAAAGAAAAAAATAAATGTTTATCAACCATGACTAAATTTAGGCAACAGAACTAGAAGATGGTAGTGCAGATCAAGATTATTTCAATCAGCCCAATACAGTTATCAAATTAGAGCACATGAAAGTTGCTTTTATCAGGAAGTGCTAAGAGCCAGATTATTTTGATTAAATGGGAGAGGCAACACTTATTCCCCATTTCACTAATATGGTTATCCAATTTCTGGCCAAAATCTCAAAGGATCAAAATGTCAGATCAGAAATTTGGAGCCAGATTTTAAAGGTGCAGTTGTAGTATCTATGTTCTATATTCCAATGAAAACTGAAGACTTGAAATTCAGCAGGCTCCCCTAGAATCCCAGTATAGACTGTGTTTTTTGTAGTAGTGTTGCATTGAGCTGCAATAACATTTTTTGTTTGTAGGTTTTTGATGAAGCATTGGAAAATAAATTTTATATATTTAAGCTGTATAATTTGCAAGATAGGGAACAAAAAAATAGCCAGTTCCACCTTCCAGCAGATCCCAAAGATTAGCTTTTATGGCACACTGATGTCAGGATTTATGGGCTTAGGGGGCTATTGATGCAAGAGGAATACCTAACTTAGGCCTGGTCTACACTACAGAGTTAGATTAATGGAAGCTGTCTTATATTGGCTTATTTCTAAAAATTGCTACACTACAATATTGCTCCTGCTTGTGCAAGTCACCTAGTATACTGACTGAACAACTTCATCTCTGAAAAAGGTGTGACAATTTTGGTCAATATGGTTTTGTCAATGCTGCATTAGCATTGACACTACATTGCTTACATCAGACTGGCAGTTAAAAGACCAGAAGCCCACTGTGCTGAGCTGATACTCAGAGTAGTAGCATTCCAGCTGCCAGGGTCATCACCTGATTGGAATTTAATCAGCGTGGTTGGGCTTTTTTATGGATTTGCCAGTTGCCCAAAAAGTTCTTTAATCTGTGAGGGGTTTTTTTTCCACATAGGTCTAAAGCAACATTTAGTAATAGTCACAATACACTGGGATATCTAAGTTAAAAGCTTCTCTGTCCTGCTAAAGGTGCTGCAGTACTCCTACTTCCACAGCTTAAGAAAACTGTGCTAACATTATCTAAATGCATTCTCTGTAGATGCTGTAAATAACTACTGAGGGGTATGGGTTGCAGCAGCCTTGCCCAGGGAAGGAAGAGGGAAAGATTCCTTCTATCACAAATTGAAAAATAATAACTCTAGCTGGCTGCCTATCCTGGTGGAGCACTCCAGCTGCCAGTGCACTATCATGCCTCACACTGACAGTTAAATTATTGCAAGTGTAAGCAGGGTCTGAATCAATGCTTCCATTACAGCAGGTTGGAACGGGAAAGAAATCCTGGATGTGTTTATGTAAATACAGTTTGCCCCTGATTTGCTTAGATGTGTTAGATATTCAGCTGTTACAATAGTGTTTTGCTCATTGTAACCAGTTTGGTTGTCACAGAGTCACAAACTGTGTTGACACTAAATTCAGGAATTTTGAGATATGATCACCAGTGCTTGCAGTTATTGTAGGAATGCAGAAAAGTCAGTCTGTGTTTAGCTCAGTTCAAAAGGAGAGAGAATGTCAGTGTAAAGAACCTTGGATACACAAGGTCTCACCTGCCAAAGCTTTGTGACCTTATCTGGGGGAAGAGTAGAATGCTCTGAATCGGCAAGCTACATGCCCTCCAGGTGTGAGCTATAAGATGGGTTCAACCTGTCCCCCCCTGCACTCTATTCTAATGATAGAACTAGAGCATATGCCATAAGGAGTCTCTTTATTAGTTTAAAATTACTCTAATGTATGCTGGAATTTCTTGTGGCTGGACTGTACTTTGGGCCAAGAATTGAAATCACTAAATTTGGCCCAGAGCCAAATTCACCACAAGCCAGTGAAAGATGCTGACAAGTGGTTAGCAGAGTGTCGGCAGCACGATGAACAGCCAGCAGAGTGACAATGGAGAAGCAAAAAAGCAGCCAGCAGGACAGCGATGGAGAGATGTAAAGAGCGGCCAGCAGAGCAACAGCAGCAAGGTGAGACAAATGGCCAGCAATGCAGAGAGCAGCTGGATGGTAGTGACTAATGGAGTAAGATGCCTCCTTATCTCCCCCCACTCAGGATGAGAGGCGAACTCTGCAGATGCACCTCTGAACTCTGGGTTTGTCCTGACCAAGGACAGCAATTGTGAGTGGTGTGCAGAGAAGGATTGGGCACATGAAGGGGACATTTACATTGCTGGATTTAACAAGTCAAGAGGAAAAGGACAGTGTCCAACCTACTTGGGGTAGGACTGTTTCTCATGGTTTTGGTTACAAACCATGTGTTTTTCCCAAATTAATGACACACTAGTTCCCTCCCCTTTTATTAAAGGTTTTTTTTCTCCACTCAGACTCTCTGCTTGGAGTGGGGAAGCATTGCCTCTCAGAGGCACCCATAGAGTATTGTGTGAATTTCCCAGGTTACTGAGTGGAGGCTCACACCAGTTTTATGTTGGATGGATGCAGAGGAACCCTTAGATATTGAACCCAGTCCTGGCTGCTGCTGGTGCTACCTGGCAGAAGACTTACACAAGCACTCTTGGTGAGGGTGCACAATACTGACAGAAGGTGCAAGTGCTAACCTGCAAAAACGTTTTAAGTACTGCAATGGCCACAGGTTGATCTAAGTCAACTTAATTTTGAGGTGTAGACTTACACCCAATTTCCACCTCCCCAGTAGGAGTTGGGAAGGTAGGACCCCAAGAACCACGATCCTTTCCCAGCATAGGGCTGGCCCCCTTCCCCGGCCTGAAAGCACAGCAGCCTCCATACTCACTTCTTGGAACACCTTCCAGAGGCTCCTGGCTACAGCTGCACAGTACTGGGAAGAGGCGAGAGGACGCTGCCAGGCCCAAACTATCTCGCAGCCCTGATTGCCTGCTGCAAGGTGAAGGAAGGGCCCCTGGGAGCTGCTCACCTGGGACAGGTGCAGCTGGGAGGGATAGAGGGGGTGTCCATACAAGTGCCTGATGTTTTTACACACGTCAACGCCATGATGGGTTTATTATTCGGGCCCCAGTGGCTTTGCCAGACTGTGCGAGAATATTGTAGTGCCTTTTATTCCCCACCTTCACTTCCTATCAGGCACACACAATAGACGCCGTTAACGTGCGGCGCCGCAAAGCGCGGGGAAGTTTTCGCGACGGTCTGGCAAAGGGAAGAAGCCCGAAGGAAGGACCCTTCTTCTTTTTGGTTCGGCCGGGGGAGGAAGATGGCGGCTGGGGATATGAAGTCTGTGCTTCGCGCAGGGGAGAGAGGGGCAGCTCCGGGGCAGCAGCCGCAGGAAGGGCGGGCTGGGGAGGGGTAAGAGTAGAGCCCGTGCCCTCCCGAGTAGGTTCCCCCCAGCTCCCCAGGAAGCAGATGAAGGTGAGTGACTCAATGGAGGGAGGATAGAGGTGCACCCTGCGTAGCTGAGGAGCCCCCTGCTCCTTTAATACGCAGTTCGAGTCTTTCCTATCCACGTTCCCCTTCCTAGTCTGCTTGCTCACTCCACTCCCAAGGAGCTGTGGTCTGTGCCCAGAGGCCTTGATACAGGGTCATAGTACGTGTAGCCGCAGGCTACATGTTCATGCTTAGTATCTCCCCGATAGAGTTTGCAGCGAAGGTTCTGGTTATGATACTATCGTGTTTTTATGGGTGAGCTATTTAATGGGGCAGAGAATATGCATGTGTGTGTGACACCAGGTTTGGAAGAAAGGCTGTAAACAAACTTCTGAATTTCCTGAAATAAACAAGATAAACATCAGTGAAGAGAAATGAGAAGAATTTCACTTAGAAATAGGGATATTGGATATATATTAGATAGCATGTAATTTGATGCAGTTACATAATTACTGAATTGTAGTGGTTACATGACTATTCAATAGTCCCTGGGAGTGGGGTCAGCCCTAGTAAGCTCCTAGCCCCGCTCCTGGAGAGCCTCCTGCCAGGTCCCGCTCCTACATCTATAAAAAGCATCTCCTTGCACAGACTGGCACAGAGCATCCTCTGTCCGCGAGGAGCTTGAATCCACCAGAAACAGAGGCTGCTGCTGCAGAGCAGCCTTTGCAGTGGCAGCAGCGCCGGGGAGGGTGGGGTGAGTTGGTGGGTCTGTGTTGTTGATGCTCGGGGGAGTTGGCTCCTTGCATGTATCAACTCCTGCCTGCCCCCCTCACTCTCCTCTCTGCTGCCTCTCTATCAGAGGCAGCAGCACAAGAGTGGGGATGGCATGCAGATCCTGTGCTCGTGGAGAGACTGCTTAAAAGCCGTCACCCCCCCCTTGCTGCCTCTTATTCAGAGGCAGAATGGTGTAGGGAGGGAGGGATACATGTAGCCAGCAGGTTTAGCTGATAAACCTATGGTTATCGCTTAATCGTGTCGTTGTCTACACACTGACATCATAATATAAGAGTGTGGCAAGCTAAGATGATCCTTGAGAAGGCCAGTCTTCATTTGTTAAATTAGACCTGTTATGAAACCATATCTGCCTTGTATTTATAATGAAAAATTGATATTCATTACACAGCAAATTACAGTTTAATGTCTTCTGTCTACAATTAATTAAACAGCTAATAACCACTAATAGAGCACCTCTAGATTGTAAACTCTCTGGGGCAGGGACATGGCTTGCTCTGTGTGTTTAGCTCAGTGTTAAATAATACTAGAGAAATTTGGGAATGGAGAGAATAAATCATATTAACTATTTTCAGGGAAGGATGAATAAAGTCTGAAAGAACAAGTGATTGATCTGAAATGATTGTAATGAATGTTAACTCCCTTGAATGTTTTCCTTATATTAGTTACCCAAAGAGTTGGAGTCATATGACAACAAAGGCTGAATGATGTGTGGGAGAGCTTATTTTTTGTAATAAATGCTGACCTGTCAGTTTCATTCATTTAAAATATAATTTTAAGACTGAATTGTGCTTTCTTTCTGCCATTGTTGAGTTTTGTGGTGTTTTTCTACAGGTTTTACCTGCCTTAACCAGGACTCTCTGGTCTGGCAACATCCATGGTCTGGCAGGACCAGGGATGTTCCTGGACCAGAGAGCCCAGGTATAGGGAGGTCTGGCCATGGGGGCGGCAACTCACCAGGGAGCCCCATTGGGGAGGGAATGTGTGCAGAGGGGTGGGTGGTGTAGCAGAGACTTCTCCCTGTGGCCAGGAGGGAGGAGGGGTCAGCAGGGGGCGCAGGGGTCC